CAATTGAGCACTGATACAGTGTCTCCTATCTGCGGTTGCGTACACGAAGTTACCATACCATGGTGGTGGGTTCTCGAAATTGAACCATCGCATTTGCTGCTCAGAATTAACTTGGGATATTTTACAACTGTACATCAATCAGACAACTTTACTCTTTATCGACTTCTTTTTTCTCCTCTGTTCTTTTGAACTACAACTGTGCGGCTATCTGTAAAATTACGGTAGCACCGTTTCAAAGGATCTAACACCTTACTTTAACTTTAAATCGGATTCACTGAGGATCTTTCAGCTTTCAGTTTGCGTTCAATATTTGTGATCTTCCCGTGATCGCTCTCTCATATGCTTGTCTCGATATTTCTACGGCAGATGAGACAAGCCGTGCTTTTTCGATCGTGTGACTTGCGCCAGCAGTACGTTGGGTTTACGTTGATTTCTTGGCGTGGGACAAAATTATCGATTTGTTGGAACTTCACGTGGCGTTTACGTGGTTTGAAGCGCGCTTGATAGCTGCATCCCGTTGTCACAACGTCAGTCGATTTCCTGGCGTGACTGTGGTATCCGAGTGGCACATGGAAACTCAAAACTTCGTAAAGGACAATTGCCCCAGTCTAGAGGTTGATGATCGAGAGCACTTATTCCCAATGCAGACAAAAATTGCTCACTGATGCGATTCCGACTGCGACGAAAACAAATGTATTTAGTTCTCTCGAATGTGCCGACTCAGTGGCCAAATAATACGGGTTATATTCCCAGTTCATTCAGGCCGGCGTTTGAGTAGGTAGGGCAGATGAATGCCTACAATCCAGAAATGGCCGTTCCAGTCCTCCTGGTTGTTGTCACTTCCTCTGCTGACTGAGTCCTGTCAGACAATTTATCGATTTTTGATCCCTGCCAGCTCGACCTAATCAAAACTTTCGTACACATATTTGCTGTTTTCGCAAAATCGTGCACGCGGTAATAGTCTTTCGCAAAAAGCAGCTTAGTAGCCCACCTGAGCCACCTGGGGTGCAAATAAGAGTTTCCGATTCAATGCGACGGGCAGTTCGCCCTAGTAACGAGAGGCTTAATTATAGGGTCGTCAGGCCCCGCCGCGTTTTTTTTATTAGTAAGTGAAGCTGTTCGGTTATTGGTAGTTTGGTTGTGCTGGGTTGGTTTCGTTTTGCCTGCTGCCCGCGCTTAGGCAGCCAAGAAAATCACCCGATCCGTTGCATTACCCAGACGACCAAAGGGCATCACAGCTAATTGCGAATAAAAACTGACAGAACCTCGTCAGGTGATATAAATAAGGGCGGGAAATGTACCAACTCTACGTTTTCACTGTCTAGGAGCTCGTTTCGTGTTTCTCCGGGTCCTCTCCTGCACATGAACGCAAACGACGAGACAATGAGTCCGTGGCTCAATGGTCAGGCCAGTTAACTTTAACCAATGAGTCGCAGATTTGAGCCTTAGTGGCTGACAAACTTAAGGTGGAGTTTGGCTACTGAGGACGGAAATGACCGTTGTAGTCTTCCTTGTATTAGTCAATTTTTCTGCTGCAAAAGTTGTTGTCGCTATGCGGCTACCTTCGGGGTTTCAAAATGAGTCTTAAGGCCGAAGGGGACAAGCATGAACCCTAATCAGGCCAGTGAACGTCCAATCTATGATATCAAACTATTTTTGGTTTATTTAGCCTGCTGAGTTCATTCTCAGCCACGAGAATGTCTTGCACTTGCTGTGCAACAGAGTTTTGATTTATCTTCTGAAAACAAAAAAACCCTGATATTGACTTCATAGAAGGAATTGTATATGCGAACCACTAATGATCGTACTGGAGATACGATTTTCGAGTTGAGTGATCGAAAAGAACGAGTCAATCACTGAGATGCCCTTGTTTTTGGTCTAACTCCTCGAATGGCGTTCGAATTCACTATCCACCTAAGAACGATGAGCTTGCCACGCACACAAATATGGAAGGTTTTTTCAAGGTGTGTCCCCTTCATATATCCATGTTCAGCGTCTAAGGTTTTGCAGGGTGTAGTCACGCTATTTGAACTACCGGTCCAGGATCAGTTGAACTCGCTTCTTCTCGAATCCCTTCAGACGTTGAGGGGAACCTAGCTGGAGACCTTCCTTCGGGAGACTTCCTTTGGTGATGGCATCTGTTTGATGACGTCGATGTTGTCTGGGTCTGGACGACGACCGTCTTGGTCTATTATGAATCCGAGATATTTCACAGAAGGCATGAAAAAATTGCACTTCTCCAGATGTAGACGGAA